GAGGGGAGGGGTAGGCGAGGGGAGGGGTAGGTGAGGGGAGGGGTAGCCGAGGCGAGGCGCCGATACTGACGTTGATCCGTGACATTCTATGTGCTGAAGTGCTTTTATTTTAACTGAGTACAGCAATTGGATTTTTTGAAATTGTTTGTTTTTTTCTAAAACAGGATAGGCTTGTGTCTGTATTATTTGGCCTTCTCCGGAAACACAAGCTGCACTTTCTTCACTTATATCGCGATGAAGCATATGCTACAATAAAGAGTACAGTTAGACAGGTTTGTTGACAATGGAATCAAAATTATAATCTTAATAGGGGCCTGAAGCAACCTATGACAATGACGGCAATGAAGACATGGGAATATAAAACATCTAATGGACAGAACAATATCTCAGTAAACCGTGTTCAAACTTTGCAGATTTCTCAGCCGTTCTCTGCAAACAACAACGTGAAATCACCAAAATTTGCGTGGTTTGAGAACGGAAACCCTGACAGCAAATTATTGATATTTCTATTTGAAACTCAACGCAGCTCACATAAATGTACAGAGCTCTGCACGTTATACTGAAGTTGAGGTGTGGCGGCGTAAAAGACGGTAAACGTATCCAGACATTAGCGAAAATACAAAATTTTCGTCTAATCGACGTCTTCCTCGTCGTCCCCGCGCTGACTCCTCACAAGGTCCCTATTAATATCTTAACCGACTACTCATACTCTGACTTAAGAATCTCACACTCAAGATTCTAGATCAAGTATGACCTGAAGTGTGAACTTTGAATCTCTACGTACATTCTTATGTTTTAAAATGTTAAAATATGTTTCAACAGACAGTACAAGATATCGTCTCAGACAGCAAAGAGAACGAAGAGGAAAGGTAATATTATGGCTATAAGGATAATGTCACAGATCTAGCGGTGTAAATCTCAACTAAGTCAGTGTAGTCTAGAAATAAACTATCAAATATGTCTGTGGGGGAGTAGGTGGGAAAGATGTGAGTGGAAAATGATAACTAACGATTGAGTTCACGCTAGCTCTGTGGTGAAGCATTAGATTGCCGCGTAGGCGTCATATTAGGTCGATTTAAAGTTACAAGCTTACGATCGTTTTTCTGGCCTGCTAGGTTAGAGTTAGAAAGGACGGTAGGGGGAGTGGGCGGGGAGAGATGCCCCATCTCCTCCCTTCTCCTTCCTTTGGCCATGGCTTATCCCATAAAAGGTTCAGACTCCTTTCTCTTCCCTAGCCTCCTGCTGTTGTCAAAATCGAAGATGGCAGCTATAACATTCACCAAGAAAATACGGAGCACTCGTTCGCCAAAATCACGCTTGCTCTGCAACTAGTAGAGTATCGGAGCTCAGAATCGGAAGGTCCAGTTACGATTCCTCGTTGGAATCCAATTTTTCTTTGTTACAAGCTCGAGACAAGACTAAGAACATCTTTCTTGTAAACAAAGCCATTCATGTAACCTTTGAATTCCTCAATCAGTTAATGACGCACCGTAAGATTGTTAGTTACTGATCACATTTGCAATGACACATAACATTAAATAAGTAGAATAAGAAAGATGTTAAGTTTTGAGCTCAGTAAAGAAATAGACCGAAGATGTTTTTTCGCTTGTCACGAGCGTGGGACAAAGAAAACATTTTGAGTCCCGATGAGAATCGAATCTCAGATCCAAAGGTCTCGCGTTCGATTCCTCATGGGGACTCAGAATTGATTCTTTGTCCCACGCTCGTGACAAGACGATAAAACATCTTCCTCTACCATTAAGTAACTTTCTAAATATCTAATAATCAGTGATCTTTTTAACCAACTGTCTTCTCTCTCATCAGTCCGAGTATAATTGATGCAATGAGAGGCTTAGATTTCCTGCAGTGGATGAACATGCTAAAGGAAGTGTTTAACGCCTCTCTATGTGTCCTGCGAAGGATGAAGGTAAGCTGCAAACACATCAATTATCAACCCGTTTCCAAAGGAGAAGTGTGTACCGCTTGAAAAATAGTTTTAAAATATCTGAACTTTCCACCTATTGTGTCTTCATTGCTCCAAGAAATCTGTGAATGATTGATTGTTCAGTTGATATATAGTGAATTCTTTACCCATTTAACTCCTAGAGGGGATTAAAATATAGTTTTTACTCAACATTTCTTTACATCAATTTTTCTAGCATTTTAGGCAGAGGGTGCTTTCTTGTTCAGACATTAAATTCTCTTAACTCGATTATAGGGAAATTATAGCATCTTGTAGGGAGAATAAAAGTGAGACATTCAGGGCTGACCTTAATTTGGAGAATTAGCCCTGTGTGGTGGGTGCACTAATTTCCTTTGTGATTCGGGTACCTTTGTAAAATCCATTTGAAAGTCTTGTCATGCCTTCCAACGCTTTTCCGCCTATTCATGAAATGAAACCTGTAAATGTTGTTTGAATATTTAACCTTTGCGATTCCAATTCTAGGTGTTGCATCAGAGCATTGTACGAGTGTTGATGATAGCTGCTGGAGGTGTCACAACTCACTTCGATCCAGATGATTTGGAAAGTTTTGGTATTCCTGAATCAGATTTTCTTCAACCTGTCTGGTAAGAGTTTGTTAAGACTTGTGTTAATACATTTGTAGCCGGCAAACGGTCGTCATGTATACTTGCAACATTCAAGCATGTGGATCAAAGTCTTCTATTTTACATTAGCTAACTTTTTCTTACCAGTTTCATTACGCATCGCGAGAGACCTACACGAAAATAGCCTTCAATGACATATTTTCTGAAATTACCCTCGAGAAACGTAGCTCAAACCAAACCAAGATGAGAAAAGTCATTACAAATAATCGTGATATCCCGAAACCTCTTATTTTACCAAGGGCATACAGGAGAGGGAATAGTATCAGAACTCTCCACGTAGAAAAGTGTGTGAGATTCATTGGCAAGGAAACATTTACATGATACTTTCTTATGTCATGCAGCAGTGGAGTGGACATCTTGATAAGCACAACTGATTGTAAGAAACTGACGCAGGAAAGTAAGGAGCTGCTGTGTGCAGGTTGTGAAATGGCACAGCTGCGTTGTGCGAAACTTATTAATGTGAGAGGAAAGGTAAGAGCAGCTCCTCTCTGAGAAGTGTCTTCTTACTTAGGTATGAGGCTTCGCTGCGCGCGCTGCGAGTTCCGCTTTGAAATGTGTAAGTCTTCTTTTAAGCCAAGAGGTTCATCCAGTCGGAGCTTTTCCTTTTTTCCTAAGCATGAAGCCAGTAGGAGTATCGCTACTTTCCCCTGGATAATCCATCGCAGGTTAACTTCTGCTTCCTTGAGTCTATTATTCTATTACTGTTGTTTCAGTCAAACCAATCGCCCTCAAAAAAAACCGTTAAACAATACTCATCGGTCTGATGCCACAGCACTGAACTATAGAGAATTGATAAGAAGTCAGGTGGTATACTAGGTTCATAGTTGGCAAACGTCACACTAAGGTTATAAGAGTGCTGAGTGTCGGTTTCTTTCTTACACAGAGGAAGGTGATAAATGGAAAGCTTTTTATGTGGGGCTTTGTTAGTACCATTTGACACTTAAGTTACAGTTTTTTGCCATTGTGACACATGATGGCATGCATTCCATTCCTAATTCAAGATCACTCCCTCAGACTTCGATCAGTTTTAGGTCAAAATTCGGATTAGTGTTGTGAGCTGTGATGCCGTCCCATTGCCCTGTTCATATTTAGTTACTGACTGAAACGTAAACCCACAAAGCCAGGGCCTACACTGTAACCACTTCTTTTAACTTGCCATTCATGTTTAAACGTTGTAATTCGTAAGATGACTTCTAGCGTTAGCCCTGCGTTAGAGTGATCCTACGAAGGGCTGACGCTCGGAACGTCAGCTTTAGAAGGAGGCTAATTACGGAGGCTAATTCACATTATCAACTAAATTGATAAAGCCAAATTATCGTGCAATATTCCCCCTCCTCCCCCACCAATGCAGCACCACATTGTCTTTGGCAACTCACCTCCTTCATTCATGTAAAAACATCGTTTTGTTGTTAACAGGCTGGTTACCTGGACAGCTTATCCTCAGCAGAGTTTGTCAGGCTGACACGTATGGTGGAAGACTTTGTTATGGACTGTGAGAAAATATGTGGACGTCAGAGCCATAGTCTTAGGGCCACTCTTTTGTCACAAGCTAAAAAATTTGTCGAAAGGTTCCACGAGGAACGCAAAAATAAGTTAAGGTGAGGCATTTGTTCTCATGCAGCTCAAAGTGCACCGGAAAATTTGTATCTTCAGCTTTTAGATTGGGATGCAGAGTTTGAATCTTGAGAATTATACCAATTTATTAGGAGAAAGGGAGACCATTTTATTTGATAAACCCCATTCGTATTTTGAGTCCTTTGATAGCTTCAGAAGCGCGGGAAAACACGATTGGTGTTTGGTTTGAATCTGATTGGTTGAGAAAATAGTGCTAGTTTTGTTAGACCAATCACAAAGTAAAGGAAAACGAAACCAAAACAATCCCGAATTTCTTTGAACACAATGAAAATCGCTCTCTTTCTCTCGTTAATTTGATGTTACTCTAAGAACATGAACCAAATTGCATTATGTGTATCGATTTACCTTTTTTTATTTTGGGGATTATTTTTTAGTTTGATATTAGATAATGAGAGATGGAAGCAGGCTGATGTACCCACAGAGCTCCAGTCTTTAGTGGACTCCTTAGTTGATGGTAAGATTAAACTGAAATTCCCACTGTTCAGGTTCATTATATTTCTAAATTTAGTGATTTTCGTTTTTTGATAAATAGTTATTTTTTTAATCTTTTACCAGGTGTTTACCCCCGGGGCAAGGAGCCAAATTTTTCTATAGGTATGTTCAAAGTGAAGTGTTGATGTTTCTATTAGAGGTTACTGTTAACACTCCTTTAGTTGCCAGCGTGGTACAAATAGGAATTATGTCCTCAGGCAGCCTGCTTATTTCCAGTTTGAGTTCTCATTGGCTCCTTGGCTTCTTCTGATTGGCTATTGTGATTGCTCTGTTTGTTTTTACAGAACTCAATCGAAAAGTGCCTAATGCAAAGATCAATTTTTGTTGTAGCGTATTTCCGTCAAGGGAGATTAACCTTCGGTTAATACAATAGTACAACAGTTACGTCATGTATTCTAAAGTGCTCGTTTTCATGTTGAAAATTGAAATTCTTTCCAGGTCCTACGGCAACTAACGACAGCAAGCCATCCCCAGTTTTATTTGTAAATGGGGAAAAATTTGCCGTCGTTGGGTAAGTTAAGAGATGAGTTAATTTTATTTTATTATATATATATATATATATATAAGTGTACTATAAGGACGTAACGAAGAGGCCAACTCTTGACTGTTCTGGACGAGTTTAATGCACGACGTTTCGGCCGTTCGGCCTTCTTCAAGATAAAAATTAAAAACTAAAAAGCTATTAACAATGATTGCGACCTGTTTACAAAACAGAAATTTTAAGACAGGTTACGTAATACAACAAGGGTCTAAATTACAACTGAGAAGGGTTAAACGATGAAAGGCAAATAAAGAACTATGGGTGACATGTGAATACAACTAAGGTGAATACAAATAAGTGACAAAAACTAGAGAGAAAAAAAAATCTAACTGTAATCATTTTGGTTATATTCATTCAGAGGCCTTCAATGGGGAGCTTGTTACTCCGGAGTAAACAGTTCTAATTAATAATCATTTTGATTACATTCATTCATTCATTCATTCGATCTGGCCTCCGGCTCGTGATTTACAAACTTTCCTCGTGTTCTTCCAACATCCCGGGTGGGTTATTACACCGGTAAACCGATAGAGAGTGTCGTCTGTTGCTTAATTGAGTTAAGAACTATTTACCTTTATTGCATGTTGCATTAGTCACCCTAATGATTACAAGTAAACTGTGGAATTCATTTGTATTTTTCTCGTAAGCAGTTCAACCATAATCCTTGCTTTACTTGTATAGCCTTTAATTCGGATACAGTCATGGAGATTTCACGGCTGTAATTCGACGACTGTTTTGGAGCGTAAACAAATCTTCTTTCGCTGACCATTATGCTTCCTTCGTATGTTTCTTTTTACAGGACAGTGCTCTTATTAGTGAACATGTTAGTGGATTACTGCCAGTGTGTGGATGACACCCCGATGCTGGTCACAGACATTATGAATAAGTTGTTTGAAACTTTGAAGGTCAGTGACATATTTGCAGTTCATTACCACCAGCAGTTAGTCGTGTTGTAAAACAGCAGAGGACTGGGAACGCAAATTTACAGACTATTGAGCTGAAAAAAATAAATTGAAACATTAGTATTTTAGTAATGTGAGTGTTAAAGCGGAGTGTGTTTTGAATTTCACAGTCTGATTTAGGCCTGGATACTTTTTCATGTGGTAGAGTTCAGTTTGTTTTTAGTCGAACTCATTGGATTTTAGAAATCCATCCCCAGTTTCCTTTTCATTGGAGCACATCTCGATCGAATGTCGTAAAAAAACAATTTCAAAGTAATCATTTAAGCCCCTCAGAACAGGGGACATGTCGCAAAGAGTTCATGAAAGCTCAAATTTGAAAAAAAAAAACTGCCCAAGGCGCGGGAAAAGGCGAGTGACGAAGTTGCGACTGGTTATACTTTTGAATCTGATCGGTGGAGAGGATGGCGCGAGTTTTCTAGACCAATCACAAGAGCGGAGTAACGTAAAACCAATGCCATCCTGAATCACTTTTGACACTGAATTGAATATTGCTCTATGGTATTATTTTTGTCGTGTGATTTGTCATGCAGCGGTGGGTTCCAGTCTCCTAGCAGATTTCAGCAACACACTGTATCCATGTCGCCCAGGATGCATGTTTTGTCGCCCTTCTCATGTATTACACGTTTTCTCTTTATTGTCATTAGCTACAACTTTTCTCATTCTTACCACCGTTGTCTTGCTTAATTTCCAGTCTTTCTCGCCAACGTTTGTTTTATATTTTCTTGAGCCTGATGGCGCCTTATTGTGTAACGTTTTCATAGATGTTCAACTCTAGAACATGCCAGTTGGTTCTTGGAGCTGGAGCACTGCAGCTTGTTGGACTAAAGACGATCACAGCCAAACATCTAGGTAATCGGAAAGAAGAACTTCTTACTAACCGAGTGTGAGAGTCGTACTTGAGAATGTTGGTCCGATGTCGCGGCACGGGCAGAGTACAGCGAAGTCCTCAAAAAAAAGAATTCGGCTAGTATCCAGCCATGTTGGCCTCACGCTCGGTCAATAACACATATATACCATTTAGGGGATATCATTTGATTTAACGCTAAAATTTCACTATTTAAATTAAATTAGATAAATAGCTGACAGTTTAGAAAATTGAAATTCTGATCACGGGAGTGAAAGCGGTAAAGTAACCTGACGAAATGTTTCGGGGCCTACCTGGGATGGTGAAGAGTACATGATGCTTCCCAACCTCAGAAGTGATGAGCTTCTTGCCTCGCTAAATTTAACAAGGTTGTTTTAACGTATGGCTCCATTGTTTTCTTGTTTGTTTGAATTTTGTTTTGTCAGCTCTTGCTGCCCGCTGTTTAGAAGTGGTTACAATTCACATTCCAGTCTTCAAAGCGCATTTCGAGGAAAGGCTACCGCCAAAGCAGTACGTTTTACTATCGCAGTTTGATCAAATTCTGAAGGTGAGCCGACGGCATGTAGTGTAATTGCATTCTTCATAAGATTGTTAAATACAATTACCCCAATAATAATATACATGAAAAAATTACTCAGTTCTGACTGGTTAAGATAAAGGCAGTATTCAGGTAATTCAGTGCAAGAGAGGGTTAATTCAGCGCAAAGTAGTATAACAAACTAGACATTCTGATTGGTCAATAAACAAACTCACAGATAGCCAATCAAGTGCGAGCCTTAGTTGTCGCAACATTTGGATACGCTGAAAATTTGCGAGCAAAACAATGGCCGGCATTTCAATTAGCTTTTCTTTCGCCACCGTAATAACAATACAGCAGCTTAGAAACAGCTCTAACAACGAAGACACTGTAAAAAGCACTGCTCTTCGGTTGTCGGTTTGTATAAAACACGGTTGTACTTCATATGTGAGAAGGAATGGCAGGAATGAATAACTCAACAACAATCTCTACTTTGCCAGAAACTTTAGCCTCGAAATCCCTTCATTGACTTTTCAAAGCTGGCCACGGTTGTTCGAGGGGTGGACATTGCTATCCACTGAATAAATCTCTATCAGTAGGTGGATAGCGCAGTACGTTTTGTTACACTCATCCATTGGATAGCGATTTATCTTTTGAATAGCTTTATGTACTCTTTGAACAACTCAATTGTCCATCACTGCAGAGCATGTTGGACTCTGGCCGGTGCCAAAGGTCTTCTTTAGAGTTCCTGCTCGGAATCTTTGTGTAGCATTCGTGGGGAAAAAAAAGCACTGGTCTCGAGCGTGCCTCACTTACTTAAGAACCCGGACACCTTTCAGAGTCGATGATGTGGGTTGGCAACCGTAAAGAAATTCTAAAGCCTACTTTCGAGCGTTACCCCTTCGTCAGAGCGAGTAAGTCTGACGAGGGGGTAACGCTCAGCCTTAGCATCTCTTTACGGGGGCCAGTTCAAATCATCAACATAGTTGTTAAAACCAAATTATTTTGTAATAATCCCCACCACAACGGTTTCTCTTTTTTTTAAGTGACTTACCTCCTCTATCCTTTCAAAGTCCATTGCTCCCAACGAAGGGACACACAATGTTGCCCACATCGTTGATTGAAGACGTTTAATTTCCGTCTTGTTTCTCAGGATTACAACAACCATCGTCAAGAGTTGTTCAGCAAAATCGTAAACCTGATGGAAGAGCTCTTTAAAAATATTTTCTCCAAGGTAAACTGTAAAGCATCGCTTGTTGACAATACTTTCAGCATACGGTAATTTAATAACATTGACTTCGTATACTTTCAGTATACGGAAATTTAATAAGATTGACTTCGTTCCTTAACAGTGGGAGGTCAAAGCTCCAATGCCGTCTCAAGCCATGCGCGGTGCGGTTAAGCAAATCACAAAACTCCACGAGTCCGTGTCACTTGTTTTACCAGAAGCACAAGTTGAGGTGAGTTTGTAATATCGTATAGAAACAGAACCCCTCCTTAAGCCGCCTGGTAATTTCAGTTGGAACAGTGGTAGACAACCACCCTCTGAAGGTTCCCAGGCCGAGATCGGACCAGTGCTTTCAATAAGAATTGAAGAAGGTGGCTACATTTGTAAAGCACCCGCCAGAGAATAATATAAATTACAATTTCCCACTAATATCCCATTGCTTCCATTCGGAATAAACTGGCTTCAATAGAAGTTTTCGGTGTTACTTCCGTAGATGATCATTAAGTATTAGTCTCCTTTAAAACAATTGTTTAACTGATCGTTTTTTTGCTGGAAATCTATGAAACGTATGCTTGAATATATGATAACACAATATTAATCATTTTCATCAAAAGTCGTTTACAAAGGTAAAAGTCGAATGAAAGAACTCGAGGTGTTTTAGGTCTCACTCCGTGAGTTTGCTTGAAAGTATCCAAGATATACCCGGTTGACCCGGCGATTCCCAACAGAATACCTGCCGGGGCTCCGGCGGGTTCTGGGTCTTATTGAAAGCACAGTCGGACTAACACACAGAGTCATAAAATATATGAGGAAATGAGCTGCGTATCTGCTCATCACAAAGTGAATGTAACGAAGTTTCCGATATTGTTGACAGATGTCTCAACAGGTCCACTCCAGCTAATCACAGTCAATCTGCAACCCTTGTGTACAAGGTGTTTGATGCAACCTAGTTAGTTACCTTTGGTTTGAATGTTATTGTTTTTGTTGTCCAGGCCATATTCAGAGACATCAAAAGAGCTTTCAAGGAAAGTTTGGCCCATAAGTTAGACAAGTTGGGAGTCACGAATGATGGTGGTCCACAGCATGGGTAGGTATTCTAACAGTAAGACAAAGAGAAAAGAGTGGGAACCGTGCGCGTTATCACTGATGTTCTTCATAAGGCCTCTTACACAATAAAAAACGATTGACCTTAAAAATACTAGGCGAGAAACTTGCGCATGTCAGATGGACTTGATTGTTATACATATTCGAGCCGCTGAAATTAATGCACGTGAACAGGGCGTGAAGAAAAACCTCAAGAAGATTGTTATGGGAGGTAATGAGTAAGTGCCTGTTCTTTTCTGATCCCTCTACAGCTTTTTGTGAACGGATAAAAGATGAAATAAAGGGTTTATCCTCTCGTTTTGGTTGCAAATTGTGCAAATGAAAGAACACTCCCATTTTTCCTCTTCTTTCTCCTTTAAGGAATAAATTACCTTACAGCGATCTTAACCCTGTAACCGCCAAGATTCACTTAGCAATTCTCCCTAACTGACTGATATGCATTTCCTCATAAGACAAGGGAATATGGTTTTCTATCACCTTCTGGCTGACAGGTTTGTTAGTTCCCATAACCTATATACTGAGATCGCAAGGAAAATCTACATGTTAGTCACAGTTGGGAATTAAAGGGACGATTTTCCTTTTAATGCAGACTCGTCACGTCGGATTTAGCTTTCTTCAAGGAAAGCCTAAAGAATCTGAATGGAATGGGAGACGTTAACAGAAGCCTGGAAGACTTGTGGAGGACTGTGAACGAACTTAGAGCTAGTAGAGCTTCACCAGCAACTGGACGGAAAATTGTCTCGCAAAGATAGCATATGTGATATGTTTCGAATTTAATTCATCGACCAATACGTCATTGTTCTTCCGTCAGTGCTCAAACATTTCTATTCGCTAAACGTTTTCGAAGCCGTGTTTTGTTTCTTCAGTTTTAAGAGGCAATATATTGGCTGTTTTACTATCAAATGTAAATTACAATTCAGAAAGGCCAAACATTTATAGAAGAGTGTTTATAAACGGGATGAAAGTGATGCTGTCATTCGGTGAAGAAATTTCTTGACCGGACAGGCACCACTAAATACGTCTGTATCTTTCAACTTTGTATTTAAGTAATTTTATGATTGAACAATTACAGAGTGATTAAAGATACTTAGTTCTCTACGAGACCTGGCATAGACTCCTGACAGGAAACAATTTTTACAAAACGTCATACCAGCCATAGGGGAAGTGCGTCAATAATAAGAGAAACAGCTATATTTTAGACGGTCATTCTTGAATATGCTGCAAAAAATAGTCCAACTCCAGATCTTGCATTTCTAGTGTTCTGATTGGTTCACTCAGCTCCGGTCATAAGCCCATATACCGAATCACCTAATATGGAAAATTATTTACTCAGGTGTTACTAAGCTGGGTTTACTTTTGGCTGGAAACAAACGCTTTCCGGTGAATTGCGGATAATTTAGTTTGATAAATCGATTATTCCTTTCGCGCTCATTGAAATCTGGAAAAGGATATAGAAGTAGGAATTTTCGAACACAAAGCTATTCAAATACGGATATCCTGTTGATTTATCATTCAGTTTTGTGCATTGTACACTTAGGGAAAAAAAAGGGCTCAAGTGGCCTGTGTGGTGGTTTTTAAGGCAACTTGGTTCTGACAGCCTGAAAGCACGCCTTCTTGTCATTACAACGTTGGCACATGCGCAGACGTTTTCCCGCTTTTAGTAACATCCTTCCGCTGGTCTGGGGCTCCGTCCACTCGTATCCGTATTCGTTTCAAAAAGCAACTTTTTTTCTTCGTTTAAAAAAGATTTTTCGCAGTACGGCTTGGCCCTTTGAAATCAGTGGACAGCGTTCTTTACTTACCCTGTTAATAGCGAAATATATAATTCTTTTCGAGTTATTGTAAGCTTTTGTTCAGGTTTGGATGAGACTATCCCATGTTCCGCATCGCAAAATTTGCGGGAAATGTTCAGAACATCGGCTGAGACCAACAATGAAGGGATGCACTTCTGCCAGAGGTTGACCTACGGCGTTCTATAGGATACCAAAGAACTGCTATAGATTACAAGGGAACTGATTCCCAAATTGGCGACAGGTATTTGTTCCGATTGTTCTAGCGGTAATCCCAATTAATTCTTCTAAGGTAATTTGGTGTTATCAACCGAGTTGGTGACGTAAATTGGCCACCGTTAAGAGTTTCAAAGCTGGCGTCTCGAGCGTTAGCCCTTCGTCAGATTAATTCCCACCAGAAATTTGAGCGATATAGCATGCCAAAAAGATTTCTGCCCACAAAACACGAAAATTCCCCCAATGCGCAAAATTCTCCTGCTGCGAGGTAGGACTACTTTAAGAAGGATAACATAGTTACGTCACCTTGATATAAGTCTTTTTTATTTTTATTTCCTTTTCTGCGATTAGGAAAGCTACCTTAAAATCGAATAAGACTTTTAAATAAGAGGAAATAATGCATAGAAGAAACAAGGATGGCCAAGGTTGGAGAATATGACAACAGATTGCAAATCACAAACTTTTCCTCGTCGATCTCTTAACTCTTTAACTCCCAACTCAAATTTGTAATTCTCCTTACTGTCAACCATACAATTCTTATAATGTTAGTTCGGAGAATTTAGTATTGGATCAATTGATTATCCCCAAATTGATATTTTTCTTTGTTCTCATCGATTATCTAGTTGATATTGTATTGATATTGTAAAAAGAAATTCTGTCTTGGTCACTTATGGGAGTTAAAGGGTTAAAAGAACACGTTGTGTTCATGGACGCAATCGGGCTGGCTCAATTACAGGGCTCGATACAAAAATCGGTTGTTTTTTAAGATTTTTAGAGTCAAACGGGATTTTTAGAAAAGTTGAGGAGTTTTGGACTTTTAGGGCATTTTAGACGATAATGTAAAACAAATTATTGACAGCATAAAAACATATTTACTTGGTTCTTCTTCCACTGTTTCAAAACAAAAATGTCAACATTTTTTGTCGTCATTGTTTGTTTGAAAGAGACCGAAATATGTAACGCGACGAAGCTGACGAACCACTTCTATTGTCTAGTAAATAAATGAACACTTTAAATCAGTTTGAAGGAGCTTCCACACATCTCGGAATCTCGCAATATATGCAAATTAACTAATTATTTTTGAAAAAAAAAATGGAAATACATCGGGATTTTTAGAGGAGATTTCGAGATTTGAAAAGACAAAATAAGATTTATAGGCATTTTTTTGGGAAATTTCCAGTTAGATTTTTCAGCCATTTTTCGGGATTTTTGTATCTAGGCCTACCCTGTCACAAGTAAAGTATGCACACCACACAAGTGGTCCAACCAACGGCAGCTTATTCTGTCTCCGTCTAAAGTGACTAAGAACATTGTTCCGTCTCCTGGATGGGATGCCAGTCCATCGAAAGTAACCCCAAACCCTCCTGCATTTCTTGGTAAACGAGAATGAAATTTCTCCTCCGAACACTACAGCCCGTTTAAAGGAAATTCTTACGTGACGAATAACTGGGCAGAAATTTCCCCTCAAAGCAGATGACAATGATCGACCTACACCTCGAGCCTTAATATAGAGATCACTTGGTGAACAGCTTGTATGAAAGAGCCCTGATACGAATCACAATGTTCATATATCTAGGTTCTAAATTTGTCGTTTTCCTCTATAACGTTATTTTTCATCCTACACTATATCTTTCTTATATTGTACAAGACGCACACGAGGATTTACCATCCTGTCCTTTAGTGCTTTCAGTTAGCTCCTCGTCCATTTTTGTTTCTGAGTCCTGACCATCTGGCGGACGATTTTGGTCCCTCGTCTCGCTATCGACACTCATAGGCTCATCTTGTGATTCCAGAGTTTCTTGTGGTTCCTTCGCGTCAATAGAGATATCTGTGTAAGAGGCAATACTAAGTTTGTGACAAGAGATAGCGATATTCAAACCGGTTTTCAATGTGGCGTAGCGTATTCTACAATGGCGTTCAAAAATCCTTAGGACAGTTATAGAAACCTTCCCTGAATAAGGGGGGGGGGGGAATTCTCCCCTCGAAGATATCTTTTTCAATGCAAAGATGTGTTTACTGGCCTTCCCCTTCCACCTCAAACAATGTAATTAACAACAATAACACCAGTCCAGTGATGGTATAACGCCAGGGTAACGTAAACACGGAGCATAAATTTTACCATTGTTTGGACAGTATTAGAGATTTTACGAATGACGTTACGGTAACAGCAAAAGCGACTTTAAAATTTCTAACTCTTTCTCCACAGAAAAGGTAAGACAAATGTCTTTTTGGCAAAGTGTGATAACAGATAGATAACATAGAGATATCATCTAAACTAAAACAAACAATGAATGAATCACGGGGATTAGTTTCTAGAAAAACTGTGGTGGTACGTCGGTTGGGGGTAACATGAGATCACCTGGTCTTATCAGCTGGGTTAATAATGTAAATTGTTGACACTGTAGAGGGTGTCTAAGCGAACGTTTCGAACGTTAACCCCTCACCAGCTTGTAACGTCAATTTAGAAACTCTTTACGGCGGCGTAAAGCAAACAAGACTGTCACCACAAACCTTTGGGTTCTTTCTCGGTGTTACGATTTTCTTCGAACGCTCCCTCTTCGACCTTCTCACTTATCGTGCCCACATCTTTTTTATCTTCCTTTTTCTCTCCGTCTTTCTCTTCGTTGCTGTCACTTTGCAGCCCACCACTTGCCAGCTCTTCCTCATTTTCATCTTCGTTTCCTACCCCTTTCTCAGCAACATCTTCTACGCCACCGCTCTCTTGATCTCTGCTTTCCTTGTGGTCTTTACTTTCCTTGTCGTCTTTGCTTTCCTTGTGGTCTTTACTTTCCTTGTGGTCTTTGCTTTCCTTGTCGTCTTTACTTTCCTTGTCGTCTTTGCTTTCCTTGTCGTCTTTACTTTCCTTGTCGTCTTTGCTTTCCTTGTCGTCTTTACTTTCCTTGTCGTCTTTGCTTTCCTTTTCGTCTTTGCTTTCCTTGTCGTCTTTGCTTTCCTTGTCGTCTGTACCTTCCATCTCTTCAGTATCTTCATCCTCTGGCGAAGATTGCTCACGTTGTTTTCCTATTTCTTTTTCATCACTTTTCCCCTCCTGGCCGTCCCCTATCTGATCATGCTTGACCTCTAAAGGAAAGTATCTTGGCAAAAGGAATTTATAGACGTCCAAGTCCCCAGCCAGAAAAACACAGAAGATAATTCGATCCACCTGCATTTGATGGAATAAAAATGATCTTGATAAGTAAATAAAATAAACCTGTATATCGTTTATTATTTCGAAAATGTATTTTGGGCGACATGTAAAACTAAGAAAGTATCTCTAAAAAATTCAACTGTTCATGAAATGGAAAAGAGCATAAGAAAGAGAAAAACAGACAAGGAAGTGGAGTCAGTGATGAAAAAAGTGGGGTTACTTATGTACTCGTGAAGAAGAGGGAGATTTTTTTGGCCTTGTTTTGCGCGTGGGGACCAAGCGGAAAGAACTATGAGTATCCCTAAGGAATCTAACTCCAGATCTTCGGATTCCGTTCTCCAATGTTCTACTACTTAGCCATAAAGACTGTGTGGTGAGCTAGGCTATTACGAACTTTCTTATGTAACACGCGTCCTGCACACCGCTAGATCAGCGGCGTCGAAAGTGTCAATATGCCTGCATCGAGGCCAAATGGCCCATGCAGCTAGGGCTAATCTGGTTTCCATTGCATAAAGCGATTAGGTGTATTTCTTCTCTTCCCTAGATGGGATGCCAAACCATCGCAAGGTAACCCCCTCGCAGGACAATGACCCGGCCAGTAAATACCACAAGAAAAATCCAACAAGGAAGATTTTGCATTCTTTCACGCTCGAGAAAAGAGAAAAAACATCTTTCTCTATCCCAAATTACCAGGTCAGCATTTATTTTTCCATCATCAGCGTCTTCCTCAAGCCACGTGCGGACAGTTTCTAGTGCTACGCAGGAAGCGTCGTAGATAGGATACCCTGTAAAAATTGTAAATAAGGAGAACAGTAAACTGGCGGTTAACATGTAATTTCTTAGGCTACGTGTAGCCGTACTCTCCCCCTCCAAGAAAAAACGTTACTCCTGGGGGGGGGAGAGGGGAGGATACGCTTACAAACAGGCTAGTAAATTCTCCTTGCAATACATGTACCAGCTTGTTAACAAGTTATGAGAACGGACAAGCTTATCAAAAATAATGAGTATTAACTTGATGTAAGACCAAATGCTGCTACCTTCTTAACGAGGAATTATGTGGCAGCCAGTAAAGAGAATTACTAACTACAAAAATACATTTTTCAGAAAAACCATGGTAGTACAAGAACCAAGAATTTTCAATTAATCATTTTGCATGCGATCCGGGCTCAGGAGTTAAACCTGAAAGGATAACTGTGAAACAAATATCCAAAGAACAACAAAGTGGGGGCTTAGGCAAGGGAAAACCACATCACAAGTTAGAGTTGTGGGTTAGTAACCCCTCCCCTAGAATACCAGTTCTTTCGTAACACAGAAGCTTTATCGTTACACAAAGATATGAAAGAAGTAATACCAGTTTGTCTTGCAGTTTTTAAAGATAAAAAAATGTCTTTCTGAAGCAGTTTTGCCTGGAGATCAATACAAAGCTCTTCTTGACGCAAATTTTACTATTGTACAAACATTTTTTCTGTAAAAAACATCTGACATTTTCAGGTCCCTAAAGCCTGCATAATCTTGCAGTCCGACCTGCTCTGAGGGTCGGCTGAATCAAACTGCTATGATGTCTTTAAAAAATGTTTGCACTTTATTTTATTGATTGGATACAAGAAACAAAAATCTTTCTCTTAAAGACATATTGTGAATAGACAAACATATATATCCTACAAGTTGAAAGATATCATGACATAAAAACAACCACTTTGGACCAACTCACCATATATACCAGTTGAAATACAGCAGAATGCCTTAAAAACAGCAAAAAAAGAAGATGCATTTAATGTAGAACAGAAAAAAAGGGGGAAAGTATATAGTTTGTAATTAAATTTTCAACTCTGAGTATGGCATTCCTAGTGTTCTGATTGGTT